CGCGATGCCGGTAAAATAATGTCATTTGGGGATAGTTCACAAGAAGAGCTTCAAAAAGGCTACCGAATATGCTTTTCTAGGGCATTGCAGCTCTGTTCTTTCCCGACGTACCGACGTACCGTACCGATACGGTACGGTACCGTACCGTACCGTACCGTACCGTACCGTACCGTACCGTACGACGTACCGACGGTATATGCGCCGATTTGTCAAATATGGATAATGTGAAATTCGGTGTTTGATGGCTTCTGGTGATATGTCGTTCGACCTGACCTAAACATTGACATTGACCTAAGCCAATGTGACCTGCAATATTGACCTAAGTGCTGATCAAAGTGCTTTCTTCATGTTTTTTTTTTTACGCTCTTTCGAACGAAGCTTACCGCTTATCACTACATGGCTCGTGAGCCGAGTTAGAGGGAGAGGCGTTCAAACACCCTCGCTTTCCGTCCGGCGCTTCGTCTTTCGAACGAAGCTTACCGCTATCACTACATGGCTCGTGAGCCGAGTTAGAGGGAGAGGCGTTCAAACACCCTCGCTTTCCGTCCGGCGAGGGTGGCGCCGAGCACCGGCACGGCGTGGGTTAATATCATATGGAAAAGCCCGTGCTGAGGAAATTCGAATAGTTAGAGAGAAAATCATGTCTGATACACCGGACATTCTGCATTTTCTTCGTCCTCGTTATTGGCCGGCCTTACCAGGAGAATCAGTGCAGAAATAACTGACACTGATTGCCACTGATTGTCTCTATTCCGCGCCTGAATGGTTCCGGGAATCCTTAGCCGGGCCCGATTCCCGGGATCATTGTCATTAGTGTACATTGAGACCGTGTTCTCATGTGAGGGGGACAGCGGCTAGCTGTTAGTGCGTCGCGACGCTTTTTCGTACCTCGTCAGTAGGTATCTATTCCAGATGATAGTTATCCTCCCGAGATGATCAAAGAATGTTGCTCCAGAGATATCACGACCGCTGTTGTATTGCGAACATCTTTGACTGGTTTCTATCCCAGCTACCTTTGTTCTTGTACTTTTGCTTACTTATTTGACAATTTGAACTTGCGTTGCTGAGCTCTGGCGCCATATGGATCGAGCAGGACTTATTCAAGGCTGTCTTTGTGTGATATACCATACAATGGAATAGTGTATCCGGCTACATACTTGCCCAGGCGTCCTTCTAGCTCTAAGACGAATATGCATAAATGCATATATCTGACGATACGTTGGCGGCTCAAAAAAAAAACTATGTCGATACTCTAAAATCTAAATAATGTAGGTAAGAAAAGTCACAAATTAATTCATGCAACCAGCGATGCCATTCCTTGGGATTTGTCCCAAGATCTTGGGATTTGAACATTAACATTGGGATCTTGTGATTTGCGCTGAATATATGGGGATCTGGCAGAAGCTGATTTTCACTTTGTTCTCATGCTGTCGAATGCTTTTTTCCTGGTCGATGATAAATTTAGGATGGATTTGCCTCACGGACGGTTAATCGCATTCAAACATATTGAAGTAACGGACGAAGCTTGCGATGTTCTTGCAGGCATTATTCCCGAGGTCGCGGATTATTTTTGACCATTACTTGTTAGGGTAGGGGAGAGTGGGGCAATGGCGAACCATAAGCATTTTGCTCAATAGCTTAGCTATTTGAAGCTATTTATGGTGTTTTGATTGGGTTATAGCCAAAGGATAGGCTTTCAGATAGCACCCAGTTTTAGTATTAGATCATATGACAGATCAGAGCCTACGCGAAAATGTGGTGAAAAATGGAGGTGCAAAAAGCGAGGGGTAATGCCGGCCCTAAGGCAATAGCACAAAAGTCGAAATATCGTCACTGGTATTCATCCTTACACGTTCTTTCGATGGAAATTTAAGTGAGAATTAAAACGACAACTGTATTCAGCAGTTACAGTACACTGCACTGCAAAACAACAACACTGCACTCGCTGAACACAACAGCGCGGCGCCAACAGAGCAGCAAAACTAACACAACCGTAAACACAGCAAGCAAACTAACACAGCTGTAAAACACAGCAACCCGAAACGTTGAGCTTTAACGACAGAAGTCACAAACAAAACCGCGTGGAGTCATTCGGACACGGTCCGGTATTACCCCGAGGTCAGCTTTATTTAAGAAGAAAGCAGGCAGCAGTCAAATGCATTGCGCCGCAAACGCCTCACATCCAGCAGTCGCCTAAAAAAGGCTTAATTGAAGGTCATTGCCAAAGCACTCAGCACTTCTGAAAATGCGTTAACACATTCACAGTCAGCAAATAGATGCACAAAAATTAAAAATCAGATACGAAAAACACATTTAACGCTTAGAAAAATGAAAATAATGGAGCACCGTGATAAACTTGCACCACGGCTAGAATGGCGCTCAATGAAATGTAAACAACATCAGCTGATTAGTGATGGACAAAGTACTCACTAGAGATGGGTGGCCGGCATTACCACCGTCCGCCATTGCCCCACTCTCGCCTATAGTAGCAGCTTTCAGTCGCTGTTCGCAACTGGCGCTCATTTGTTTAACCCGCGCCCGGCTGGGGGTCCTGGATTCCACGCCCTGCTGTGGGGGGTGTTGAACACCCCCCTTGTAACTCGGCTCCTGGGCCACGTAGCGATACGCGGAAGGCGGCGTTCGAAAGAGCGTCAAAAATAATGACGAAATCACTTCGGTCAATTTTTTGGTCAGGTCAAAGGTCAGGTCACCAGAGGTCATTGAAGGCAAAATTTCGCCGATTTCCAGGTCGAATGTCGAAAATTTCCAAGAGCCAACACATAACTCGGGAACCAATAGAGCTACAGCGCCGCGGAAAAGCGCATTCGATAGCCCTATTAACGCCCTTTCTGAGTATTTCTCTCAGATTTGACCTAACGTCAACGGTTTTGCCTGCAGGGGGCAAAAACTGCAAAAATAGCCGATTTTTTCGGAAACAGTTTTTCTGCAATAACTTTTGACCCAAGCCTTGTACGGGCTTACTTTTACCGGCATCGTGTTCCTCTCGTCAAGACGCATCGAATGAACTATAACTTGACCTTGAAAGGTCAACTTGAAAATTTGACCTCAGGTCAAGGTCATGACCTGACCGGAAAGGGTCATGTTGCATATCAGTTGATCCGTATCGTCGAGCTGAACACATCTAAGGCGTTTTCATCGCTCTAGCATGCCTCTATCAAAAGTTATTTGCGAAAAAACTGTTAGATACCATTTGTGACCTAAGATGACCTCAGGGCATAAACAAGGGTCACGGACACCATTTTCATGTTCTGTGTGTCTAAACCACTTGTAATTCGGTGTTTGGGAGTGTTTATAATGTCTTTCGTCCAAAAGAGGCGCATTTCAATTTTCTCCCATTGACTTATAATGGGGAGGTCGCAAAATTGACCTGACCTTAGGTCATCGATATCAAAATTCTGAGATATACATTTTGTACATGCTATTGCTCTTAGCAATCGCTGAAAGTTTCAAAGCGATCGGTCACTCGGTGTAGCTATGACAGACATTGAAACTTTTTACGAGGTGAGGTCACTTCAAGTGACCTGGTGACCTGACCTTGAATGACCTTGGTCTGAAATTTTCACAACATGTGTAGAATTGATGTATGATAAGGTATACCAAGGAGCGCCGCCGTTTTTGAGATATTCGCGAAAAACCACAAGGGGGGGTGTTCAAACACACACCCCCCCCCCCCCCAGCAGGGCGCGGGTTAATTTCTAACTACCGATCAACGGGGATGGGTGGTTTGGCGGAATGATGTTGGATGGCTATGATTTATGAAAAGCTTTTACAAACATTATGCCTAAAAAATATTTCAGAAAGCGGCTCCCGCACAAAGCGTTTCATTTTACGGTTTTGCTCTATCGAGGCTTATCCGTTGACCGCGAACCAAAATGAGGGCAATTTGTCTTTGACCTCGGAAAAGTGTCTGGTCACCTGACCTCTGGGCTCTGCTGGACCAAAATTAATCAAAGCGTAACCTTGCGACCTTCACAACACTGCTGACGTCTTGTAACTATATAGTCCAGGGGACGAGCTAGGTCCTCGTTTAGACCCCCTCGCCATCGTCGGCTTGAAAATTCATGGGCCCCAGCGGGCACTGGCTTACGCGCAGATTCACAGCATAGGCTTTTCGATTTCGAGATTCACATAAGCTTTTAAGAGCTTGTTTTGGAGCCCATATTTCAAAACTCAGTGGTGGAAAACACTAAAAATCAGCCTGACCTCACTCTATATAGCTTCTCCAAATGTGTCACGAGACAAATTTCGAAATAAATCCAAAATGCCACAGACTTCGTTTCCAAGAAGTTCTAACAGATTCGAACTTTGTGTTTTGGGTCCTTGACCCACCATTGACGGTCGACGAATGACCTGACCATAATAGCAGATACCACCGGCTTCATGTTGTCTAGGCCAGCATCTTCATTTTTCGTGAAGCTCTTATACTCGGTCAGGAACCGATCAGCTGTAGGAGTCCGATCGACCCCCTCCCCCTCCCCTCCCCTCCCCCCGGCCTCTAGGTACATTAGCTGCTGTAAAGACGCCAATAAGGACAAGGGTGGACCCGAAGAAGAGAAAGTTGAATACTAAACACACTAATATGTCCAAAATAAGCTATGGATTTACTTGGGGTACTCCTAAGGATATGCGATGGGTAGTCTTGGGATTCGAGACGAGAATCTTGGGAAATTCTGGTCGAGATCTTGGGATGGAGTAAAAATGTGGATGGCATCACTGATGCCAACGCTCCTCGCAGATTGTGTCACAGTGGCTCATAGAGTGCATCACAGTGGCCCACAGAATGTATAGGGACCACAGTGGCTCACAGACGGTGTCCTGGTGGTTTACAGAATCTGCCACATCGGCTCGCAGAATTTTTGGAGTGAGGGTCTCTCCTTCGATCGGCAAAGTTCGGATCGTGCAAGATGCATGATTCATACCAATCGTCGTCCTTTAGCTCAGCAAATATCGATGACATGTCATCGTTTGTGTTTCAGGCTATTTCTCAAATCACCGGCGAACCCTGACTTGCTCTACATTATCTTCTTTCTGCACAATCAGCTGACGATCACAGTTCTTCTAGTTCTGATCTTCGGCAGCAAGGTAAGAATGGAAAACACATAGCTCACTTGCAAGCACATACATAGGTAATACGTTACTGACAACACATAGCCTGCTGGCTTATAAATGCCTATAGTAACTGACATGCACGCAGCACACTCGCTAAAAAGGGATACCTAATGATAGTACTGTAATAAAGAGCTGAACGAAGTGACCTGACTCGGTCACCTCATTCACACAACGACTTGTTGGCCTGACCTGACTTAAGTTGGCTAAAGGACTCCAGAAAAAAGAGTGAAATAATGTTAATATCGTGTCTCGCTCAGTGAGTGCAACATGAAAAGAAGTATTAAAAAGCATGCGATGTGTTAGCCGACCAAATGAAAAAAGGCTCCAACAGAACTGAGACAAACATGTTGTTGATCGTTTATAAGTATACGAGGAAGGATACTTTATGAGTTTCTTTTAATGTAACGTCAACCTTCTGGGAGCGGCAGCGTTATTACAGCATACCTACTGTTTTTGTTGTGAGCGCTATTACAGCATTCTGTTTTTCATTTTATTTCACCTATCAAAAGATACAATTGCAGCTTTTGTTGCTGACGGTTCTTTTCTTTTTAATAACGGAGACGGCAATGGCCTAACCGTGCGGTCCAAAATGGCGGGTGTGCGCCCCATCGGGCTCCCACCGAGCTCTCCTAGCGGTCATTACAGTGCTGGCGCCGAGGGGAACGAGAGCCGCGGCGGCGGCGGTTGGGGTCGGCCGCGCCGTCCACCGACCTGTGGGACGTGGCAGGCACCGGAACGGGCGTTTATCCGGACTTTTTGCCGCCTCTGCTGAGGTGTATACAGACGGTATGCTATTTACATCGCCACCAGCGCCGCCGCCGGGTTCCATTCAGAGGCGAAGAGCAGCCGCCGGCCCGCTGCTGTTATGATGTCCGGAAGCCACGACAGCGTGAGGCCTTCCAGGCAGCTTCAAATGTACGAGTAACTGGAGCTTGTTAGATGGGAAGTTGTATCCCAAAAGTGAAAAGGTACTACAACTAACGGGCCAGCGGCGCTGTGTATCAAACGGAGATATTTGAGTGGAGGGGATGCTTGAGGATTATTGTTTGCTTGCAGACTTATGGTTCCTTAATCCTACTTACTTGAGAGTCACTTGTTGGTCTGGTCAGTTAGGGTTGTGGCTCTTTGTAATGATCTTAACCCTCGCCGGCACAGGCCATTTTTTAATGATCGTATGTATGTACTACAAATGCAACATTGCCCATTGCATCGCTAGTTTCGATCATCTTAACTATTTCGTTTGCTTTGAATGCGTCTTCAATTTGAAAGCATGCCTACTTACCTTCTTCTTTTCCGCTCCTCTCTCTTTCAACCATCCCATCCTCTGCCGCGCAGCCGCCCCAGCAAAGGGCAATTCGCTAGCGAATGCGAGAAATGATATTGCGTTTCGCCTACTTATGAGGCAGATGGTCAAATAAGGAAGGATGCTCGAGATGAATGATACAGAAGTTATGAAGGGCGTGATTTTCGTGGGCGGCGCAGTTTCGTAAATTGCGCTGCTGACGTTAACGAGGCAGCGTCATCGGGCAAAATACAAAATGACCCAACCAAAGAGGGACGAAAATGTGTTACTTAGGTATACAGCTGCTATTGCACAACTATTATGTGGCACCCTTCACAATTTTACTTCCCATTTCAGAATCACGTTGCAATACATCGCTTGGATTGACCGCGAAAAAATATGAAGCATATGTTGTTACGGGGTAAAATACTCGTTTTAAATGTTTACAATGCAACAGCTCATCATATCATAAAAACTTCTGCTTGTTAGATTTAAATCATGTCTTGCATGATGTCAAATAAGTTTTCTGGTCATTCGGGTTGGTTGGTTTATCACGCCAAATCACCAATCGGTTGCATGATACGTAACGTAATCCTTGATATTGTTGATCTGACGACACCTTGTCTAGATAGTAGATATGCTGCCTAGAGTCATCATGTCCAGGAAGATATCGACGGCTCATTCAGTGTTGTATATTATATCATACCGCCTCTGGACAAATCTGTCCGTTCCCTCAGTGACCCTCCCCAGTCCCCGGTGATCACCTTGCCATCCACGAAAGAGTTAGGTACTGGATAAGGTTGTGGTCTTAAAGGGGGCTCATATTCTTGTATCACCATATTCAGGAAAAAGAAAATGTTGGCATTGCAACACTCCATTAAACCCATTTCAGGTATTAAGTAGAGTGATGAACCCTACTCAATGGATCGTTATTTATCCTGCCGTTTCTTTGCATCATTAAAGAATATTATTTTGGGTATCGCAGACTACGCCCTTTTTTACAAAAAAAAAGTTTTTTTTTGCCCGTCCTTCACAAAAAAGTCTACGATAGGTGCTTAGGTAGTTACCGAATGAAATACAGCTCAGGCGTGACAATGCCAGGATGTTCGGAGGAAGTGATGAAAACAAGTGAAGGGTTCCAAGAATTCGTATCGAATCCGTTTGTTTGTCAATCATTTAAGTGCTTCAGCGATTTTCTTTCTTTCTTTCTTTCTTTCTTCCTTTCTTTCTTTCTTTCTTTCTCCTCCCTCTGCTAACCCTCTTTTGACATTTCTCCGCAGGTCTACATGGTGATGAAGGGCCAGGGCCGCTCGGAAGGTGCCAACTCGTCGGCCCTAAAGCCGTCATCGGCCAAGTTTCTGGGCGGCAGCAAAAACTCAGAGCCAGTTGGGTCGAATCCGGCGCCGACCATCGGCGGCTCCATGGGCTCGCTGGACCTCTTCAAGCTGTCCGACGTCAACATACAGGTGATTACTGACGCGTATCGGGTGTGTGGATCGGAGGGATCAGCACTCAGCAAATAACTATATAGGCGACTGTTTAATGTTGATACTGGCATGTCCCTTGAACTCTGGAAGGGTATGTTGCAAATAAATTTGCTTAACCAGTTCCAATTATTCTAAATTCGTTAAGCTTTGCATCGCATCGCATTGTCCTCAACAAACGTTTCGTGGTTCATTTTAAACGCAACCGTGTCTAAGCCATATCATTCCCCTTCTTCCAACATGGAAAGCTTGTGTCTCATTTATCTACTATCAACCATGCTCGAGTTCGCGCCTCCTTTATAGGTTAGCTGGTCCGCGTTTCCCGGTGGATAGGTAGGCTTGCCCGCTGAACAGCCGGGTACTGCGGGTTGCATACCCATCAGTAAACCCGGCCGACTGCGAGGCCTGCTTCAACGCAGACTCAACCGGCTCGGCGTCAAAGTTGATATGAGTGATATTAAATTTTTATTAGAAGTGGAACTTTTAGATAATACTGCGTTATTTTATTTCCTGTTTTCTCGCATTCTACCTATGATCGGTATGTTGTCGTCTCATGGATGCTTTCTTTCGTCTTAAAATGATCGAGTTCGGGATGCAGTTGTTTCCCATCTTTTTCCCAAATGATTAGGGTTGGCTTTTGTTAACATCACTTTGGTCGGTAGGTATTTGGCTTGTCTTCGGTTTCCTAATATCTTGAAATGGACATTACTTGCAGGGACCTTAGTACATTACTCCCAGAAGACCGGCTGGTCTGGGTACCCTAACCAAACAAAATAAAAGATAATCACTATCTTGGGGACATGGGCTGAACACTGAGCAGCCGCGGGTCCGAGCTAGCTTAGCCGTAACGACTGTCGGCATATTCCGACAGAATGGGCTGAGCAGCCCCCGAGTTCTGGCGTGGGATCTAAATGTAATGAGCAGAAGCCGAAAACATGGCACAGATGGACTTTGCCTGTCGTAGTCTGTTGGTCCCGCTGCAAATCACTTTTCCCACATGCATTTACATTTTGTTTTATGACACAGACAGATGGGCAGACAGACACAAGACTTCCAAGCCCAGCCCAGCTTTTATTTTTGCTCTCTCACCGAATGATCTTTCTGGACATGCTTTCCATTTCCCAGTTTCGAATCAAGAAGCGTATTAATAATGCAAACTAGCCTCAACGCGGTAATGGTGGTCAGTTAAAGTACGGTGTAGACATTGTACCTACATCAGAGAGACACGCACTGTTGGGCGTAGACAATCCATATAACCCTGATCCTATAGATGGACCCATCACTGCCTTATCATCTGCCATGGAACAAAGTACTAACACGTCCCCTGACTCTCTAGTGCACCGCCCACGGTGTGGCCGCGCCAGGACGTCGGTGCTCTGTCGCCGCCGATGGGGGGTCACCGGGGTCACGACTGTGATTGTCAGCTGCGCGGCCGTGCGGCGGCCCGACAGTCGGTCCCGGCGGGTCCCGGGGGGTTCATGTGCTCCCAACAGTCATCAGCTGTCGTCTCGCCGCGCTGAGTCACACTGCTCACACGTATCGACCCCAGCACGCGCCGAAGGCCAGGTCACCAAAGGTCAGAGGTCAGGGACGCGTGGACAGCAAGTTGGGGGGTGTGCGTGGAGCCAGGAGGCAGGCTACGTCAGTTCGATGCAGGGAAGTCATTGCCAGCTGAACGACATGCTTTCTTGTAAGCATTCATCCTGATACTGACGTGTTATTTGTAGTTATTTAATGGGATCCTAAATCTAAACAAAATCTAAGATAACCATCCAGGTAACAAACTATCATCTGAAGTAATTAAACAAGTATTATTCTCTGTTTTCCTGCTGTTAACTGTTCTGCAGATTCCAAGGTTCGTCCAGTTCGTAGACATCACGTCATTAGCAACATCGATCGACATTTCTGGAGACGAACCCGGACTCATCAAAACAACCTCGCGCTTGATATGAAAACCGTATTCTTGATGCACAAGCATTCCATTTGACGTAACATCTGGTTATAAAACTAGTCACCCATTAGCCGCCTATTAAATTCAAGGAAAATTATCTAGGCTCAACGCTGAAGTCGGTGAACTTCAGTCTGTTCGGCAGTCCGTGATTTTTCTTTGGACGTCTACACAGGTGAATGCTCAGTCGTTGGGATTTCAGATAATTTTCACATTAAGAAATAAAAATATGAATTAGTGACATTTTAGCCTGCCCAGCGAAAACGTCTTTTTATAAACTGTCTGCTTACCTTAAAGCTTAAATACCGGCAGCGGGTGCAACGCATAGCAAAATCCGAACTAATAATCCAAAGGAGGCTCTTTTACCCTCTACCTATAGGGCATACCGCTATTGCGCCCCCCCCCCCCCGATTTTTAGCCTAGTTAATCGCGTCATTTTATTATTTATTCGGAAATGTCCCCAACCCTTGACGTGGCGTATTGCAGGCCAGTGTTTCACTCGGACGTGTCTCCAGGCCATTGTCGAACAGATAGCAGGCTGGCGGTCGTGTTCCGAGGCAAAATGATAGTAGTCCGGCAAGCACAGGTCATGTTTAGGGACGCAGTGTCCGTTTCGTAGGCGCGGACAGTGTTTACGGCCTAATACCTGACCTGATGACCGTCTTTAACTGGACCCAGGGGCTGTGCTGAAACGATAAAGAACCAGACTGCATGGTGGAATTTGGCCGGAGGCGGTCGCGGGGCCGGCTCGGCAGGAGAGTATCGATCTCGGGACGCTCGGTCAGAGGCCCGGCTGGAGAGGTGGCACCGGCTGGGTGAGGGTGACCCCGAACCCCGCCCGGAGAACAACTATATCAGCCGCCGCTAATATCGCGGTATTTCTGCGCCCAGGACTTCCATTCCCTCGCGGTAGATCAGACTTTATAGCCAACGATTGGGAGAAATTAGTCATAATTGATGTTATTAGCGTAGGGACTACCTTAGCGCTGTTGTAAGTATGACCATTGGAACATTTTCGGTTGAAGCATCCAAAGGTTAACCCTATTAATGGCAGGCTCCTGGCTACCCCTATTAGTGGCAGGGGGGGCTGTTTACGACCCCCCCCCCCGATATCTCGAGATCTAACGGGCCGATTTTCAAAATTCAAACGGCATTCGATTTCGCTTAACGTGATCTACATTTCAAAAAAAAAATGTCAATAGGGGGGTAGAGGGGGATAAAAACGGGCAAATTGCAGATACATTTTACTGTTTATCACGGCCAGGTTTCTGAACCAATCTTAATGCAACTTTTGCCGGTCGATAGAGAATGAACCAGGAATTCACATGGATCCTAAAAATATGCATTTTCAAAAATCATAGGCGGATACAGATCATTGAGATTGGGGGTACACAAAAAGTATAGTAAATAAGGTTTTTGTTGGTACTGTTTCTAAAAAGGGTGGCAACTGGCAATGGTCTTGTTACGTTACAATTTTCTTATGAGAGAACGACTACAATTGTATTGGTCATGCATAGGCGGTGTCAGGGCACCTATGTTGGGAGGTAAAACATAACCCCCCCCCCCCCTTTTTGGACGCCTGGATCCGCCTATTATAGCAAAAACGTGTCAAAAGAGGATGCACAATAACTTTGTATATGTTATCACATGATACCTTTCATTCACTGTTCGTAAAACTGGTGCATACATTTATAATACATCAGCATCGTGATCTTCGCCCAAATGACTCGCTTCACGAATAGGACCCCCCAATTCCCAGTGCTCTGGAGCCGCCCCTGGTAAAGTTATGAACTTGAAATTTTCAGGGAATGTGCCCGATTTAGTTTTAGGAAAAGTCAGAAAATTTCAGCATCGTAGCTTCAGCGGTTTCGGAGATATTCCCGAAAAACCTGAGGGGTGGATGAAAACAATCCCCCCCTGCCACTAATAGGGTTAATATGTAGATTGTAGAATCATTCCAAAGCTAGCATTTCGACAAGCAAAGCTGTCGCCGGATTGGAAGAGCACTTCAGACATAAAGCCGTCCAGAGTAGGCATATTTACGATGCGAAAAGCGTCCTTGCTTGCGTCAAACCCTGTTAGTGATACTCGACGTAAATGTAATATCAGTGAAGCTCTGAATATACCAAAGTGGTACGCATGCACTGCCAATGACGTTTATTTGATCTTGTCATCCTGGATAATTGAATTATTTCGTAATGTGCGCTGGAGCTCATCCTGGATGTTCAAGCTTGAAATTAGTCCCTGAAATTAGTTCGCAGCAGGACCTAAAATCCATCACGATAAGCCCTGCTAAGTGCACATTTGTTATATGTAGACTAACTTTCACCTCTAGCCAGTACGGTATTAGTTTGTCCTTACCATACCACCGCCAATAGGTATGCATCTCACTACCTTTGTAAGTACGAATTAAGTGTGTAAGTTAACCTCTCTTTGTGACGTTACCCGCCCCCTCTCTGTCCTTCCTCAGAACGAGCTGGACAAGGTGACGCGCTACCTGGAGCTGCTCGTGTCGCGGGGCAGGCCACTCGGTGACGATACCTGGCACGCCCAGCTGGAGGCCATGCTGGCGGCCGCGCGCGGCGAGAGCGCCCACCGCGCCGTCGACCGGGCCATGCAGGACGGCATGGGCATCGCGCCGTCGCCCAAGGTGGACTCGATGTTGGCCCAGGTCACCGGTCAGCTGGTGACAACCGTGATCCGGGAACACACTGCGCCGACCGGCGAGGCTCGGCTCGAGACCCCGCCGCCGTCGGTAGCCCCGTCGGCGCCGCCGGCTGAGGTCGGGCCCTCGGTGGTGCTCGGGTTCGAGGGAGTGGTGGTGGACGGTGGACGGGCGCCGCAGCAGGGTGCGGCCCAGCGCCAGGAAGTGGCGGTGGACGCGACTCCGTACGTGGTGATGGCCGAGGCGCAGGTGCAGACGTGTGCGGCCGGGCGCGGCCAGAAGCGCCACTCGGCCACGCAGACGATCCGCACCATGGCGGCTCCGCTGGCGTCTGTGCCGACCGAGACCGACATCAGCTCCTCCGGGTCATCACGGCGCCCCTCCAGCTCCGGCTCCGACTCCAGCCGCTCCTCCGGCTCCGGCTCCGGCTCCGGCTGCAACCCAGCCGACTCGGCCTCCGAGGACTCCGGCAGCACGTGCGAGTGCGCGCGGTGCGGAGCGAAGGGAGTGCCACCGCCCGCGGCGACACCGCCAGAGGCCGGCTCGGCGCGTCTTCCCGTGCCCAGGAAGAGGAACGCGAGGCACCGGCGGCGGCCGCGGTCGCTGCAGGCCATCCGGCTGAGCGATCGCTCTCGGTTTACCGAGGCAGTGACAGTGTGAGTGGTGACTGCCGCGGGACGGTGTCAGTGTCAGTGTCAGACTGTCAGACAGTGACACGGTACAGTGACCGTGTCAGACGGTGCTAGAAGCAGCGGTGAGCTGTGGTATGTCCGAAGACGCGATATGTGTAAGAACAGGTGAGAACAGTGGTGAACAGAGGTGGTGGCGACTAGCAGAGACGTTCGTCGGTCGTACTGCATGGCGGGATGGCCTGGACAGTGAGGTATGAATTCTGGTGGGACCTGTGTGTGGCAATGAATATTGATGGGATTACATTGCGCTGTGTTGGGTCGGCTCCTTGGTTACCGAGCAAAACTATTAGTGGGTTCATTCAGTCCAGAAATCGATGTTTTGCTCATTGATGTGCATAATGTTTTGAAAGTCTCTTCTTCAAAACGTGATGTGCTTGATATGTGCATTGTTTTTGTCGTTTCAAAAAGTACTAGTATTTCACTTTTGAACTGTTCGCTGTAGTTTCCCTGTTGAATGTTAGATATTGATTTTAGCTCCCAGGCAATAAATAAAAAGGTTTATAAAAGAATTAAATCTATTCGTGATCAATATTAACTTCATCTCGCGTTGATTTTCATTCATTGAGTTAATCTCCAATATTTAGGTATAATCCGTTGGGAGGGAGCCAAAGTCATTATTAAACCCCGCGTTGCGGATGAACGTTAATTAGATACTTAAATTAGGCCAGGAGGAGACTGTAATAATCGACTCTGGCGAGCGTTTTATATGGGGTGACGGATTCGCAGTGTCGCTCGAGTAGGTAACGGTGTTGGTTTGAGTGTAAGGATGCAGCCGAGTCTGGCATTTGTCGTGTCCGGTCCGGACCGCGCTGATCTCGGACCGCCGCTGGTCCCGGACCGCGCTGGTCCCGGACCGCGCTGGTCCCGGACCGCTGCGGTCCCTCGTTGTCCGCTGTCGGTCAGTGAGCGACCGGCCGGTATGTGGTCGGTCATTCACATCCGGCGCTCAATGTCTCGCTGTGTCAGACATGTGCCATAATGCCAAACGTATCTGCATTGCCGTTGTCTCCAGCTGTTAATGCAATGAAGAGAACAGCTCTTTCTGTGACTTGTAGTTTGTGTCGTTATTTTTGGGTATCTGAAAAGCGATGCGTACTCTGGTTTGTTCACAATCAACTACATTTATTCCGACTTTTATTATTCAAATTTAGCACCCATAGTCACGATCTCGCTTGCAAGATTTGCTTATCTATGTATAAACCAATCAACAGTCCTTCGATGTGTCCAATTTTCGTTCCAGTTAGACAAAGCAGCTTATATACCACGTAGAATACTATGGTTTACACCAAAACAATTCATATCGAATTAAAGTAAGGATGGAAAATAGAATTGTGCTCGGTGGTTTGGGAGTATCGTATCATCACTTAGATTGTAGTACATAGCCAATGCGGCGGCACCACAAAAAAAAAGATGCTGGCCCAAGAGCGCCGGGGTCATCTTCTTTATCAAGATCATTTGAATGTGAGTGATCCTGATCACCCACTCGAAAGTGGTGGGTGGAAAGCTTTGTTGAGGGCAGTTGATGATTGATATCAGCGTTAAACATATCACGTCTGTTTTTATATATCTTACCGTATCATATTAGCCGTTTTCACGACGGGCTTTCCGGCGAGTGCGCCTAATTTGACCAGATCTGCACCTAATCTCTTTTACAGCAAATATCTTTATTTTATGAATGTATTTCAGTGTTTTAATCGATGATACTCTCTGATAATATGACAGAGCAGGCATTTAACCCTCGCCCTGGCAGGGGGGAGGGTCGATGCGACCCCCCCCCCTAAGGTTTTTCGAGGATAGCGTAAAAACGGCGGCGCGCAGCGCCGCCAAATTTGGCACAGCCTATGGGGCAACCTTTTTACATATGACCTGAAAATTTCAGGTCCGGGTGACCTTGGGTCAGGTCACCAGGTCAGAAAAACCGGTACAAGGTCATGGTCAAATTTCAATTTTCTTTTTGCACCTGTCCAACTCACAGTTTTGCACTGATTTCCTTCAAACTTTCAGGATGTGCTAAGGTCACCGAGTTGTATAACATATATTTCGGGTTTTTTGAGGTCACTGACCTGAGGTCAGTTAGAGGTCATAACGTCGTAATGTTAAGCCTATGGGAAAATACTAAATTCGGAAAATACTGGAGATATCCGCTTCGTTCTATCACTTTTGTGCTTTGAAACCACAGTACTTAACAGCAGGTCACTTGGTGCTTCTTTGTTTGGTGTACTTATTCATGGGTCAGGTCAAATGAGGTCAACTGAGGTCAAATGACGTTTTTGCCAATAACTTGGCACACAATGACGCTAGAGCTTAAAAAATGGTATCATTGTGTTCCTGGTGATCAGCCGAATCGAATGATATGCGATATGATGCAATTTAGTTAACTTTAACTTAATTTATTAATTTAAGTTTACTTAAAATTTAAGAAAAACTTTAGGTACACTTAAGCAATCTAAAAAGTATATCATTCGACGCGCCTTGACGTGCTGAGTTCACTGGTGCTTTTCGTTTTGCTCTATCTTAATTAGATCAAAAGTTATAAGCGAAAAACTTTTGACCTGTTTTTAGCGAAATTTTTACATTTATACCCCCAAACCCCCCTAAATATTGACCTAGAGCAACCAAATTTGCACAGGGGCGAGAACTCCAGGGGTCCCACCTACCTACCAAATTTGGTGTTTCTAGGTGCCATAGGAGCCAATCGCGAGGGGGGGTCGCATCGACCCCCCCCCCCCCCCCCTGCCAGGCCGTGTTATGAAAAATGCCCTGCCAGGGCGAGGGATAAGCAAATGGTGCAACCCTGGCTGGTAGCTACTAAGAGACACACTGAACCTAATTTGACCAAATCTGCACCTAATCTGCACCAGATGTGCACCAAATCTGTATCAGATGGCCGTCGTGAAAACGGCCATTATCTTCAAATAATAGGTATAATTATCTCAGCCTCACTGCCCGCCGGCCCGACCTTGCCACAGAGTTTCATCTGGCTGCATGGCACCCTCTGCATCATCTCGCCGTTACGGTGACGACTGACGCTCTTTGAATCTAACCCGTCGACGGTGACAACACGATCTGCTTTTGTAGGGTCGAGTGTTGTTTTGCATGCTGCGGTTGTCGCTCCCACGTCTCACGCTCTTTTATTTCCAAGTCTGCTTAATTCCTAAATCCATTCCGTGCCTTTTAATTTGTTCTTTTCCACCAAGTTCTTAGATGTCTTTTGAAAGAGATGATTGGAAGCTACCCGACATTCGTAGTCACAGTTTTACCATTTATGTGTCTTTTGAGTTAACTTAAATGATACCGTTGCATGGCGTTCAAAGGTTCGCACACCAATTTCTCGCCTTTTGCTACTTTTTCTCTCGCCCTTGATGAAATAGGTATTGCAAAGCTGATTGAATTGAATTAGACATGCAGTCCAATAGCAGTCAAGAAACATGACAGACGTGCCCTTTCATTGGCTTTTTGTGGTGCGCTTGAGCCGGAGCAACGCTCGCCAGTCACTACTTAGTTGACATGGCTAAAAAGTTCCTCCTAGCAGATCATTTTTAACCGATGCGGGACGACTGGCTCTGGCGTTTTACGTCCTTCGTAACTGATCTCAGAGCATGTTTTCCACATTTTTAGCAGCCTCCTGTCACTAGTGTATGTCTCGAAGGATGTTTCAATTTTGCTGGCTCTCATACTCCGAGACAGATCCCCATTTTCCGACAAACAGCTTTTAGCTGGGGGCGTCTCTCTGTATATAGGATAGCGGTGAGATTGGAGACCGCGCTGTTCGGGACGGATGGATATATCCTGGATATATCTCGGATATATCGGCGTGTAACGACTGGATGTCGCCAAGATTGCACTACATCAAGGCAGCTCAAATGCAGCCCATATTCAGCCTCGAGTCGGGGCACGACGAGTTACGGCAGAAGTTGTACAGCGGTAGCTGCTACTGGTGGGTGAACTAATTCCGGGCATCTCGAGGCTCCATCCACTTGATCTTCGGAGCCAACAGAGGTCGCCAGACCAAAATTTTGATAATACATTGAGCTCAAGATCAAAGCAAAAGAGGATAAAATTATAAAATGAGACAAACAAACGACAATCCACAATTATCTACACTGTCTAATCTGCTTTAGGTACATGTGCCAATTAGCTCACTACTGGTATATAATTGATTTTATTTAACTTCCATGACATAGCTCGAATATGCCAGCAATACTTACCTGTGGTGTTGAACGTTCACTTGCAAGGCGAATCTCGAATACTCTGCTTCATGTAAATGTGGTTCAAAGAAAGTACGTCATTCCGAAAAGGTTGCAGGTCTGCCGTTGATCGCGAGTCAGCAGTACTTCCAGCCAGTCCAACAGTCCTTGCTGGAGCTGGCGCCGGAACCTGTGGAAGACGTGATGCCAATAACACAAGGCTATCAATTACGTTGTTGCTCCCATTGCTCCCATCACTATAAACTCACCATTGACCACCTGGCACCCTTACAGAGTGTTTTACAGCATCAGTGGCCATCTGACGCTACGTGCTACACATCATCGCATAATTTGTCTAAAAAACCTATACATGGTAAGATTTTGAGTTATAAACAATCAGAAAGTACCTTTTAATCAAACAATATCAGCCAGCATCAGGAAACCTATAAATGGTAGATCTGATAGGAATGGAGTTTAATGTATACTTGAAAATCGTAACTTGCAATGCAAATGCTTGCGACAAATCACACTAAACACGTACAACGGATACCTAGCCGGTGTCATTTAAATAACTTACTGGCACTTAAAAATTGACTCCGACCTTAAACAATTAGGAATCGTGCACTATAAGAATCTGATGAATCTGATGAATGAAAATCTCACAGATGATTGCAATCACGACTGCAACAGAGAACATACCTATGATTTGTGTTTAGCTGCCACCTGTTCCAACATAAAACTCTCGAGGAAGGCCTGCAAACTACCCAATTGTGCAGTCTCGGAATCAACTTATGTGTCCCGTATAGGTCTTTCGAATGGAGCATGGTTTGATCGGGAATTGGTGCATTACACTTGCCAGCATCGTCCGATCTCCCATAGTGATTTCCATAGACTATGGAGCGAGCCGCCAGCTTAAGGCCTGGTCCTTGGTCACTGTATGCAAATCCGAGCTCCTATCATTTCCTCTCATTGCCAAATTTTGGAATGATCGGCTAAGATGTTGTAGCAACTAGCAAATGTTTATATGTTGTACCACATGCATCGCTACAACTTGTGCTGGGTTTTAAAGCGAATTCAACAAAACAAACTTCGTGACTTGTACTTAGGCGAACTAACTTCAGAGCACACGAGCGACACTCGCCTCCTGCTCGAACTATTGTTAATAGGTACGCCAATTAATGCGAGAAATTCGCTCAGCCTCTCCACGAGTACTTGAGACAGTCCTTATGACGTCCTAATGAGCGTAGACACCTTCGAACGGCGACGGTTCCTGGTATATGTTGCCTGGCCACGGCGAACCCATCGACCGATCAGCTGACATAGTGACTACGTCATTGGGGCAGCGCCGTCTCCGGGTCGGTCAGCCCCGCTCTCGCGACCCTCCTAATGAGTCCTCGGCTTTCGGGGCAGAACAGATTACTTTCTACGGGAAAGGTCTGATGGGAAGAGGTCTGAATCAGGTAAAAATAGAACGGTTGATTAGGAGATGGGTGCTTCAGAGCTGTTACGTTTGAATGTAGTTTTAGAATCCTTTTAGCTGGACCTGTAGCGCGGCACCAATGTCAGACGCAGGTCAGGAAGTTCGTTTTTCATAATTGCTGTGAGATTCAATATTGTTATTGACATGCATAGCTAGAGAGTTACTCAGCTGTGGAAGTAACCCTGTTATGTCAACAATTATCGTCTGATTTCAGCAAGGAAAAACGTTGATGAGCGAAGTTAATGTGCAATGTGCATACAAAGGGGTGATGAGGCTGATGCTCGATTCAAACGTGAAGGCAGAAGGTGGCTTCAGTTCTAAGCCAAATCTTCTTCAAACAAGTTCAAATTGTCTAACTTAAGAATACAGTTAAATTGCGAATCCTAGAGGGTACATATCTGACTGACTTCGCACTCTGCAAGTGCCAAACTCTCA